TCTTGAAGATACTGAAGATGTTTTAAAGGAGGTCTACATGCAAGTTTCTCCAGGGTTAGCCTTGGCAGACCTATTGCTGCTGAGGATTTTGCTATGAGGCATCTTCATTGGTTGTCAGTGCAGCACCCTAGCAATATGCAAGGCTTGAAGTGAGTTAGCATTGATTATGTTGCTGTGAGTAAAACTAAATACTACAATAAGAGTGCATTTAGCTATCCTAACAGAGATTACAGTTTAAAGAAATCAAAAAGAAGTCACTAGGTTGGTGATGGTGGTGATAGGAAGTTTGGACTAGATGATCTTGTAGGTCCTTTCCAACCTTGTGATTCTATGATTCTATGATTCTGTCATATTTTAGAGCTGCTGAGAAACAATGAAAACAAGAAACAAGAAAGCAGTCCAAAGAGTCCTGGTGGGTTTGCATCAGATTTATTAACTGCTCTTCTCATTAACCTCGTTTCTTCTGTGGGACACTTTGAAAAGAAAAGCCTTTAACTGCATGTACATCTTGGTAATCTGGTGCTCTCTGACCAAGGGTGGCTGCACAAGGTTAACAGCAGCACTGCTGCTACTCTAGGAGCAGCTCACGTGAAACATCACTTAGTGCCCCTCTCTGATGGCATGGTGATCTCTGTTGTGATGCATCCTGAAAAGATAACATCACAGGGTTGTCTCAGTAACCCAGCAGGAGCTGCTCTGCAGCTGCTTCAACCCACAGCAGGAAATCAATCAGAAACACAGCCTGTTGATCTTGGCTTGATGGAAAGCTGTGGGATTGCATTTGGGCACACCAGCATTGGAGCATCTCAAGGCATCACCACAATTGCAGCAGACAAGAAGTGAAGCCTTTTTGCCCACAGACTTCTGAATTCTCCTTATTCTCAGGCATTGAGAAAAGTTTTCTCTTGTAGTTGTGGCATTATCCCTCTACACAATCATCTCGCTTGCCAGGTGCAGACACTGGGATGTGAGCTTATTCTGCTGACGTTTTTTTTCCTTGCAAGTGAAATGCTTGTAGAAGGCTTCATAAAATCTCCCTTGGCCTCATAACCTTGTAAAGGTTGTGAGATTTTTAGCTGCCTGTTACGTTTCTACATTTCCTATCAAACTGCAATAAAATTAGAAAATGCTCATGCAACCATAGAATGCCTTGAGTTGGAAGGGAGCTCAAAGCCCACCCACCCCAACCCCTGCCGTGGGCAGGGCTGCCCCCCACCAGCTCAGCTGCCCAGGGCCCCATCCAACCTGGCCTTGGGCACCTCCAAGGACGGGGCACCACAGCTTCTCTGGGCAGCTGTGCCAGAGCTCCTGAGAGATCAGAACAGATGAAAGTAGCACTGCATAAGCCTTCATTTGTCAGGTGATTTTTAAGAACTGCACACACTTTCATCAGTGCCAAATAATATCATCCTGAAAATAATGCATTTTGAAACATCTTTGTTAGCTTTTAGGTAGGCTCTTTTTCATTTAATGACCAATGTCTGATCCAGTCTTAGAACTATAGAATGGTTTGAGTTGGAAGAGGCCTTTAAGATCACCTAGTTCCAACACCCCTGCTATTGGTTGGGACACCTCCCTGTAGTCCAGGTTGCTCAAAGCCCCATCCAGCCTGGCCTTGAATGATTCCAGGAAGGGGGCATCCACAGCCTCGCTGGATAACCTGTTCCAGTGTCTCACCTCCCTCACATTAAAGAATTTCTTCTGATACCTAATCTAAATCTACTCTCTTCCCGTTTAAAGCCACTTCCACTCACAGTGTTGCTACCTCCCCTTATAAAAAGTCCCTCCCCAGCTATCCTGTAGACCCCCTTTTGGTACGTGAAGGCTGCTATGAGGTCTCTTGGGAATCTTCTCCAGGCTGAAGAGCCCCGGCATCTTCCCTCAGGTACCTCCATTAGACCAAGACTATGAAGGAGTATTATCCATTTTGTCTACTCTTAAAATAAAAAGCAGAAACTAGCTCACACAACATCAAAGATAAAGACTGCAAAAAAAGACATGCATTAATTCTGTTTGCTAGCATAGGTGTACTTAAGTAGGCTGTCTAAAGTCAAACATTTTCTTTTTAAATGCAACAGTTGCACACTTTTATTGCACATTTAGTGACAACTTTAAATTTCGTTGTTAGTGCTTTCATCTCTGTGCACAAACAAATCTTTCCTTACTTTGTAAAACATCATCTTCACTGGAAATTTGTCTGACTTCAACACAACCGTAAGGTGTTTTTTTTTTTTCTCCTGAAGTATCTGGCCTGTTCTACTGATAGGCTTACATGGCATCAAGGACGTTTGCTGCATGCTTATCTCAGGTTCAGCCAGTATTACAATAAATACCCTCAAGATGTTCCTGCAAGGACACCTGCAAATTTATCTAAAGACTGTCATACAAAAGCAGGCATCTGTTGTGCTTAAGTATTGAGTATTTAGCCAACTGTAGCATTGCAGAGGCTCTGAAAGCTAGATACAGATAGCTTCAAAGTATAAAGCAATTATGTATGGTTTCTCGCACACAAAGCTCAGTAGGGCTTACAGAGCTACTTGGCTGAGGAGCAGCATGCTGACACCCCAGTCAGATGCCTGAGAAGTCTGCTGAGCAGGCAGGCATTGCTCATGGAGGGGGTGGTGGGAGCAGCAAGCTTGGGGCCAGGACAGACTTGCAGACTGTGGGTACTGCTAATCACATCCTCTCACCACACTGTCTACACTGCCAACCTAATCTACTGGCTGTGGTCTCGGCACTTTTCCCTTCATGATTTTATGATTTTCACATCCATTATTCTTGAATCCACGAGTAATCATCATAGAATTGTTTGAGTTGAAAAGGACTTTTTAAAGGTCATCTAATCCAACTCCCCTACAATGAACAGGGACACCTGGACACAACAACATCTGGTTGCTCAGAGCCCCACACAGCCTAATCTTGGGTGTCTCCAGGGATGGGGCATCCACCACTTCTCTGGGTAACCTGTGCCAGTGTCTTATCACTCTTATTTTAAAATTCTTCTCTCATATACAATCTAAATCTCCTCTCTTTTAGTTTGAAGCCATTTCCCCTTGTCCTATCACCACAGACTCTGCTGAAGAGTCTGTCCCCTTCTTTGTAATAGCTCCTTTTCAGACACTGAAAGGCTGCTCCCAAGTGTCCCCACAGCCTTCTCTTGCCCAGGCTGAACAGTCCCAGCTCTCTCAGACTGTCCTCATAGGAGAGGTGTCCCATCCCTTGGATCACTTTTGTAGCCCTGCTCTGGATGCACTGATCCATATCTCTCTTCTATTGAATATGCTAACATCGCTGCCTCAGCCTGCATTTTCATCCCTTCTCTTCCCGCACTTTCTCACAGCTCCCTCTCCTGCAGTGGCAACATATCCAGGTTAGGCAGCTGTGCCTAGGACTCTTGGAAAGGAAGCAACTGAACCAGGTGGGGACGGTAACTGTGAGTTAGAAGGAGTGCAGGTTATGCACTGGAGGGGCAGAGGAAATGTCCATGAATTACAAATACTGAGAACTATGATTTCATTGTTGTTTGTGCTAAATGAAAAATGATGGCGTTTCTCAGGCTTTTCATGGCAATGCAAGGATGGAACTGACAGTGAGCGCAGGAGGACAATACAGGCAAGTGCCAGGAGATGTTGGAAGTTGCTACCTTGGGACAGACCTACAGAAAAGAATTAAACACCTCTGCAACTACGCTTTCAACTGGCAAATTAATTTGTTCTCACTAATTGAGGAAACCAGTTCTTTAAATAAATGTTTAGCAGATGGTGGATGAAGAAACAACTGCAAGACATTTCTTGTAGGTTTCAGAACTCTCTGGTGATGGGCACTATATATAAGGATATAAATTAAATGAGGAAGAAAAACATGGTAAGTTCTGTCTTTCATTTCACAGTGGAATCCACAACTGACTCATGTTATTATTACACTGCCAAACAACAATAGCAATTTAGCAGCATCTCTGTTTCTCCCACTCTACTGCAGAATTTTATCTATCTAGAGAACTACTGCTTCCTGCATTCCTACTTCTCTTCATTCAGACACCCCTTCTTAATACAATTTTCTTTTAAAATCAACATTTAAAGCTTCATTTAATTACTGCAAAACACAAGTGAATAGATGGCTGCTTAAGTCAACACAATAAAAAAGGACTTTTGCTTTAATGCAATTACTAGAATTTCCCTGTTGTTGTTTTACATTGTACATTGCTAATTTTATATGCAGTAAAAAACAGAATTAAAATTTTAATCAGGCTGAGAAATAAAAATTCTGGGGAAAAGAATGAGTCAATTTGAAAAAGGAAGTAACTCATTATTTCATTATTTATTCCTCAAAATTAAATCTTGGTGTTCAAACACATAGTCAACCTAAATCTTACAAACCAAATTTAACTGCATGTGCGATCTAATAAATAACTGCCATATGCAATCTGCATTTCCAATTAAGGCAGCTGCATTACCTGGGGAATGTTACATGGAAGAAAGATGTCTAACAAAAACAAACAAACAAAAATCAATTCTGTTCCTAGGGCTTGATTAATGAAAAAGCAGCAACAAGCCCCAAACCCCATACCCAATTTGTGGAAATGGCTCGTTGGCATGGAAACCAGAGCATGCATCACCATTCGGGGGTGCTAACAATATCCACATCCAACATGAGATTTCAACTTAGGAAAAGGGGAGAAAATAGCAACATTTTTATAATGCAGTTATTGAACTGTTCCCAATCTTCCTCCAATAAAAACAACAACAAAAACATAACCAAAAAACCCACACCAAAACAAAACAAAAAACCAAGAAGAATCTACATGAACGTAATAGATTAAGCTCTTAAATGGACCCAACTCTGTGGTCTGAGCTTTTACACTCATATGGATCTCATTTTGATCAAGCAAGACTCCTCCTTGTGAAATTAATTACTGTCTGAGAGCTTTACATCCAGCTGTGCTCTCACTGTTGGGTTCTCCAAGCACTGCAGTACAAAGAAAGTAACAACAGGATTTAATATTAAGTTTAGGAGAATATTTTTATTGGTAACATATGGCTTTGTGAAAAGCAAAAATCACCCTCCCCACATAAAGAAAACTAGGATTCTTTCTGTCCTTTGCCACCAGCAGTTAAAAAAACACAGCAATAAACAAACAACAAAAAACAGAACAGCAGTAGCAATTCTGTGTGTTTTCAGAGAGCACTTAATGAAGATCACTGCTTCACCAGTTTCTGGCCAATTCTTGCTTGTATTTTCAATGAACAATAGTTTGCAATACAAAGAAAAACTACTAAATTTCCAGCTGCTAAGACTTTCACATTGGCTTTTGTTTGATAGGTGTTTGATAGCCTCATCACTCTTGCAAACACTTTTCTCCTCCCACGAAAAGCTTATTTACCAGTCACTCAAAAGACGTCTTGCATCTGAATACCCATAGGGTCAACATTACATATACAGAAACACCTCAGATTTCAGGTATGATTTACTCTATAGATTTCTCAGCAAAAGTCAGGGAAGGCAAGAGGAAAGAAACCCCATGCATGTGACGGTATTTTCTTATAGCACGTTGGTTTAGTGGTTGGCAACCCTGCCTATGGCAGGGTTGTTGGAACTAGATGTTCTTTGAGGTCCCTTCCAACCCAAGCCATTCTATGATTTTGAAGCTAAGCATCCAAGAGCACAAGCACATCAACCTCTTTAAACTCCTGATATACAAAGACATACAACAGCTCCAGTTCCGAGCTGCCAGACAGCTTAGGGAACATGCTGACCCCCTCTGCACTCTAAGCATTTTCCTCAGAACATAAGCAGCAGCAGCAGCAGCAGCTATACAGTTAGATTTTCTTTTAAGCACATAAGCTAGGACTGTGCTTTCTTCCCGACTCAAAATCGGATCAAGGGCAAAGCATTAAAAAAATTGTGTTCCTGTGGCTTATGTGCTCTAGAAGTCGTCCTTAATGATAACCTACCTTAAAAACAGAACAACTCTCCTCACCTTGCTCCTATCAAAATCTAATCTAACAAAAATACAATCCATAGAAAGGTATTAGGAAGGATGACTTAAATGTAGATGCTGTATTTCTAATTCCCACAGAGGCAAAAACAAGAGCAGAAACACAAACTAATTCTTTCAGAACACCTCACTATCCCATGAACTGAAATTTCTCATCAGTCTAATCAGATAGCTGGAGACTTCTAGATGCAGTCTACTATAGGCTGAACGATGATCATTTTCACAGATATAAGTAATGATGACATTTCTCCTCTCACCTTATAATATGCATTGGAATAGGCTCTTTAAACACTGGAATAGGATCCCCAGGGAGGTGGTTGAGTCACCATCCCTGGATGTGTTAAAAACCATTTGGATGTGGTGCTCAGGGACATGAATTAGTGGAGGGTTGTTAGAGTTAGTATGGTAACTAAGGTAGTATGATTAGGTCGTGGTTGGACTGGATGATCTTTAAGGTCTTTTCCAACCTGAGTAATTCTATGATCCTATGATCTGCAGTTATTTTCATATTGGATTAATCTCCATACTTATATTTATTAATACATCTTCTGACAGCCAAAAACCAGGGATTACCTACTGTACATTTACTTATAAACTCAGTTTTACTTGAAAGCACACTCTCACACTGCTCAGAATGCCTTTTAAACAACTACATTCTGATAGATAAATAAATATCTGTTCTACGTGGTTCAGATGTCAGGTTGTTCAGGTGTTCAGGATAATGAAAAAACTGAACTTCAGCTAATTTGCAGTCCTACTTTAAAAACAAACCTAAATCTTTCCTCTTGCTAGTCATTCTGTGTAACTTTTTACTTTAAGGGATTAAAAACAGAGAGCACACAGATGAACTTTGGGGAGAATAATGCTTCTCCCACTATCCCCTACTCTTCCAGTGCAAACCTGTCACCTTCAGTTATGTAAATGTAGCTCTACAGTTATTTCAATAAATAGTAACAAGAATTTTTTAGTATGACTGACCAATACAAGTTCTAAAAAAAGCAGACTATTCTGTTTCACAATGTGCCACTACTGGTGCTCTCATTCTGAAATACAAACATCACCGATACAAATTCATAAAAAAAAAGCCACGAGAATAATGCAGTATTACAAATTTATTTAGTTTCTTGAAGTCATCTTTTTCAGCATTGAAAATTTCACACATACAAAACAACTTCTATGCATTAAATCCTAAGTATGGATTGTATTATGAAGTGCTGTGCTTTTCCTTTTTTTTTTTTTTTTTTTTTTTAAACATCTCATGAAACAAATTTTTCAGTTATAAATTTGATAAAAATAGGTGATGCACCACCACTTTTTTTTTTTTTTTTAAATAAGTGAAATTCACCTCTTTGGGAAATAAGGTTTGGGGTTGTTTTTTTTTTTCCTCTTAAACATTGTATCATGAAAGATACAGACCTGAAAAAGGATAAACATACACAAGGCATAAACTTTACACAGAGTAGTTCAGAAATTTTATAAAGAGATTTGGAAAAGTATCTAAAATAGCATTATTTAGTACAAAATCTCAATAATAAAATATTGCTCATAATAAATAAGACATGAGTTTCATTAATACTGTTCTCCTGTTAAAGCTCTCTTTGATGTAACATGATCAAATCTGATCAAAACTCAGTTTTTTGTTCCTCCTTTGTATGAAGTAGGCAGATTTACTTCTGTATGGAATGGGCAGGTTCAGGTCGTTCTTTGTTAGAAACAATTTCATTATCAACAGAACACAAAATTTGGTTCAAGGTTCATGCATCATTATGGGCAAAAACAAACCAGAATGGGAATAAACCCCATTATAATAGGTTTAAATACCTACAATATTTGCCTGTTTTCTTAAAACCCAAGTGGAAGAAGACTTTATATGGATTAGGAATGCAAAGAGCAAGCTGCCTGAGTTTGCCTCAAAAGCTTCTAAATATCTGTGCAGCTGTATTTAACGGTTACCAAAGCCACCAGGGAAAGTCAGCTCTATAGGGGATATGAGCTGTATCCCCATCATATGGGGACATTTGATTTCATTCCCGCACGTCCCATTTGTAGACATGGCAATTTGGAGCAGTTCTTCAGCAGCTGCTCTATAGCAATATGACGGACATTCAGTTCTGAAGCCAGAGAATCCTTTTCTTGGACTTGCTGCGTCAGTTCCTCAAACACATCTGCAAGAACATTGATTGTTAGGTTAATGCCTTTGACCACCGTGCTTTTATTATAGAGTTAAGAAGCAATGGTGAACATAAATATCTGTGCCTTCTTAATAATCAAGTGGGCTCACACACAAGAACAAGCTTCAGCACAGCCTGGTATACGCACTGTATATTAAACAGAATCACCAGTTATGTTTCAGGGGACCTGAGCCAAGGTGGATCAGTTTGTAACTTGAAGCTGAATCCAGTTAAAAAAAAAAATAAAGAAAATGCACATTATGTGCAAGTTTGTGTCACTCAAGGTTACATAATAGAAGCACTCAAGTTTCTTGCCTGTGCAACAAGGTGCAAAGAAATTTTGGTTCAAAACTTGGCCGACAGTAAAGCCTTCACTTTTTTTTTTTCTTTTTTAATAGAAGATTCTTTATTACAAAGCAGTACAAAACCAAAAACAAAGAGTACTGAAAATTTCTCACCCTGGATTTGCTTGAGCAGTTTTTCAGTCAGCTGCTTTAACTCTCCAGGAGTCATCCCATTCACTGTAACAATAAAAATCAGTTATCACTTTCACAAAAGTAACACGAACACCTCTAAACAGATTGCCTTTTTGTCTTTTTTTTTTTTTAATTTGCAGCCTAATGATCAATCACTGCATGACAGCAAATCAGAGGCAGCACTGTTCATTAATACATTTTAGAAAACTTGAAAATCATCTCTTGACATTGACACAGATTTCAGTTCCATAGGAAAGTCCTTTCCTCAATGTCAAATCAAGCACTCAAAATAGAAATGCCCAGAATCAGAATTGTTTGTAGATTGCTTTTCGCCTTTTAACACTTCTATGAGGACTTCTGACAGCATGACATGTTTTCCACACTCTGACCCCTGCAAATACATCTGTTCAGCTGATGGCAAGCAGCCAATACTGAAGCAAGTCTACTTTTTATTTTTTATTTATTTATTTTTTTTAAGTTCATAGGAAATCACCCCGGACAGAATTTTCAGCACATAACTACATTTGTCGCCTAGAAAGTTCTGTGTTTTTGGCGTACAGAAATAATATCTCCATAATATAGAAACCATAACATAGAAATAATGTTTCCACACAGTAACTCGGTGACAGCTGATGAAGAAAAACCTCAGTTTGATGCAAGCAAAGACCAACATATAAAAGGCTTACTTCTCATCTTCCTGCATTACATTTGTAGTGAGAACTAAATGATCCTCTGCATCATTCATAAGCCCCTCCCCCCTTACATCTCAGTTTACAAGCACACACTACTCATCCTCAGAGGAAATGTGTATTAAACCTCAATGGAGAGAATTCTGGAAGTATTCTACGCAGATCTGAATCAACAGTAGTGAGTAGGGAAGCACTGTCCTCAGCTAGATGATGTGGGAAGAGGTTGGTGCCACTTCTGCTGGGTGAATTGGACAGAATGGCAGAAACTGATGACAGTGATAACCAGGACACTGAAACAGACTTTAATACCTTGTAAACCCTTCAGCCTCCCACCCCAAATGGTGCAGCTTGGCAAAACTATCTCACATGGAGCCTAAGGAAAAAGAAACATGCTGCAATAACAACTTTTGCTCAGGGATTTCTGACTGCAAGAAGTTTTTATGTTGTTAAACTTTGTCCTGATGAGGCTGATTTTTACTTACCCCAAAGAGAATATTTTATTTCCCTATGGTTTCTCATCCAACCTTTCTCACATCTTGCAATTATGGACCATTAACTTTATGTTGCTATTGCCAAGTTAAAGAAGTCAGTAGCAACTACAAGAGCCAATTTGTTGTTACTCAAGACATAAGGCCACTTCATAGGGAAGCAGATCCGCTTGCTTCCTCTGACAGCTAACTACAGCAGTACTCCTTTCAGCTATCAATAGAACAGAAAATTCGTCTCTCACATCTTACTATCCTTTAAAAGTTAAGACTTCTTAAACTCCGTGAAAACCCTGATCAGATTTAATATGGTAATCAATAGCTTAATAAATAAATACTAAGTAAAAGTACAAGAAATCTTTCTTTCTACACCCATCCTTAAGAAATTACTTTCTACTTCACTGTTTTCATTAACATTTCATCAGCTGTAGCAAGGAGGTAGGTTCACGTATTACGCTTGTGTGTATCAGGACATCTCAGCCCTGATCAGTCTGCATATGAGGACATATCAGTTATGTTGCCTAGTTTTGGTACAGAAAGCCTGACTAGACTTTTCTCTAAACTTTAGATAAGCACCAGTCTTCAACTGAGCATCATTCAAGGCAGAAGAGCTAAATACTGCAAAAATATTACTTATACTGTAAAGCAAAAATGTCTTAAAAATGCATTACGTAGTCATAATAAATAGGGGAAAGAAAAATAAATCTGTTACCATGCTTAAAAAAAGGTTTATATTCCTGTGTCTTGAAATCAGAGAGGTAAGTTTCAAGTGACTAACTGCAGTTAGATAACTCCGTAAACCAGGTCAAGCTTTCATAATTCCTCTATTAACTTCTGCCCTCATGTATTTAATCCCAATTTCTGACTCCAGAAGACAGGTGGTCAAACAGCACAACATATCTGTTTTGATTTATGGCTTTAAGACTACTAATTTATTACAAATGCAATATGAAACATCAGTTAAAATCTTCTTGCAAATAATGAATAACAACCATACTTTGCAAGGATGAGTTTTGTTAGTTCATTAAAAATAGGAGTCTAAAGAAGCTGATCCTGACTTTTTTTTTTTTTTTTTACAGCACCCCCTTTTCTCACTCTTCTGATATTCTGAGTTCTACTGTTGCCTTCTTTTCCTGCTACCTAATTTTTCCACTTAACATTTTATGATCTTTTAAATCTTTCTCTTATCTTTTGAAATTCAGAAGCACTTTCCAATTACTTTCTGAAGACTTTTCTAGAGAACACCATCTATAGCAAAAAGGAAAATTAATTTTTTGCTGCTTTCAACATCACCACAGTTATCACAAGAATCATCAGGTCTACTCTACAGTTTGAGATGACGTGGCAATGTGAGGGCCTTCACACTTTCCCCTATGCTGAATAAGTAGATGAAAAAAAAAATTCTAGTGAAGTGTAAACAGAGTCCACTGCTATTGGCAACATTTAACTCTGTTGCTTCACAGATTTGCTCTGCTACTTCACCTTTAATTTCTTCTGCTGTTTAGAGTGGCTTTGTGCAAAAGGTAACTGGAGACACCTGACACATGGATTTCAGGAGTTTAGTAATTGGCACAAGCAGCACTGTTTGACTGACATAATAAAGATTCACCGCAATCAACTGTAACAGTAACTTTTTTGCATGAATTAAACATGCCCTGTATCACTTTGGTGCATAAATAATAGAAAAGCTAAAAAACAAACACAAAAATATCAAAACTAACAAATGAACAGCCTCCCCCCTCCACCCCCCCCTATCTGTTTAGCTATGCTGTCACCTTATTCACAGATTTTACAGAAACTCCAAACCGTTAAAAGCTGCATTCCAGACTGTGAATTAATGCCTTGTGGGAACACTAAGTGATCAACAGATATTTCAGAGGATACCCCTTGCTTGCTATGCTGCATTTAAATAGAAATGCACTTACATTCTTCCCTGCTGTAATGAGGATGCCTTCTGTGAACACTGGTGAGTGAATCACTTTCAGCTTTTTCAGTTTTCTGGGCTTGGCTGCGATTAGACCACAAGACACTGCTGCAACAGAACGTAGCACCTGTTTCTTGTAACATACCAAGTCTGAAATCAGTGGGTTCGCTTTGTTCTAACAGACTTTGTGAGCAGTTTGAGATGCTTCCAGAATTTCCATCTATCCATTTTGCCGAGTATCTAGGTACTGGAGAGTCAAACTGTGGGAGCAATTTTCTATCAGTCTGATGTCTCAAGCTAAAAAGTGGGTGTTGGGATGTTTTTGAGCTTTCGGTATCAGAGTCTATATCCTTGTTTTGTGCATACTGTATGATCCAGTTAATTTTTTTGCTCAAGATACTTTTTACTTCTGCGTAGGGGCTTCTAGAGAGCTTTGAACGTGGGCAGTCCTGATTTGCAATTAAATGGAATTTTTCAAAGCAGTCTCTGTGTCCCCTTAAAGATCTTGTATGTAGAAGATCTGACTTTGGTACTCCTGCAAAGACACAAAAAAAAAAGTTCAATTAATATATATTCAGATATCTTTTTTTCCAAGTCCCAACTCATAACTAACCAAGAAAATAAACTGTTAACTGATGCTTTCATATTAATAGTCTAATCACTGAAGTAAAGCAGGATATGTGATAGTCTAAAATGATCTCAAACTCCACTCATCTCAAATCCTTCACACACAAAGTATTTTGCACACAGTAATCCCTAGTGCAGGAATTACAGATTACCTCCACATGCCTCTCGTGCAATAACAGAGGTGAAGCAAGCTTCCAACTCCATATACATATTACATGAAAGCTATACAGACATATAATCTGTCCTAAATGATTCCAACTACATATCAGACATTTATTTGGAACAATACTGAAGAACATCCTGATAACAGTCACTTGTGCCCCTACCTTCTACACATAATGCTTTAAGCCATCTGTTTGGATATTGCAGTGTGCAGGTTTGTATCACTCAAGGGGTTAAACATAATGTAGACTTCAGTCATAGTTTATTATTTCGTATTACTACAAGCCTATAGCTGGGATAAAGAAATAAGTTCTAACACTGCCAACACTCGCCAACATGAAATCATCCTGAAATTAGTTTTGTGTAAGATGGTTACTCATTCTCTTTGATTGTCCTCTCTTAAAGATTAAGAGAGCCACAAAGATTAAAACAGCCACAGCAAGTAGCCTACTCAAAGAAATTATTAGTGGTTAACATGTTAAAAAGTAACACATTCTATGAAGGCTGACAGTCAATAAGTTAAGCCAGATGGCATGAGAAATAACTATTTCATAAAGTGAATAGCACTCCAGTACCAAATTACTTTCTGCAGTTTCAGCAGATAACTTATTCAGACTCACTACGCAGTAGATTCAAAACCTAAGTCTAGAATATTGAGCAGCTAGGCTTTTATCTCAATCAAATACGCTACTTGGGAGATTCCCAAAATTAACAAAAAAATAAAATCTATAACACAAGCCCCTGATTACAGACAACCAAAAGCTTGTCTGTGAACCGCTGGCTGAAAATGCTCAACAATCGCTTAAGTCAAAATATTTACAATCAACATATGAAAATATAATTTGATCTTTTAAGTTGGGTGAGCTGCCACCATTTTACTTTTTAACACATAAAAAAGCGATACAGAAATGATGTAAACAGAGGAAAAACCATGAAATGCAACAAGATGTGATAAGTGACTTTAAGGAGAAACTAATGAAAAGCTACACATTACAACAAATGTTACATTACAACTTAAGTTTAAGTTCTTGTGGTGAAGCCCATCCCATCCCGAACAATTAACAAATGACAACTTGTGTTAAGTTTGTATGAGCGCACATACAATTTATGGGGCAAAATGACAATACTGAAAAACAATGCTTTATCCTCAGCAGCAGAGAATAAAGATCAAGTCATGAGAACAGACACTCCTGCTATCCAGGAACTAAGTATTAAAATGAACCCTAACCAGAGGCAGCTTTTAAGAAAGAAGTTCCCCAGGAAAGTACAAAGACAGATGTCCTCTTCATGGCTATTGGATCAAGATTCTTACCCAGCACTTCAAAATATCTTTCAATCCCTTCCAGCAAATAAACATCCACTAACTTAAGGTCAACTTGGTCTGTCTACTTGTAATGGCTATTTTCCCCTCTCTGTCTCTCCAGAGACATTAAAAGCAAACAAAAATAAGCACAAAGCATTCATTTCTAGTGCAAAGAAGGAAAGGTAAGACATTTCACTTCATGGCTTACTAAAATAATTCAAATATAACAAGTCTGCTTAAGTCACCTAATATCTTCTAAACTCCGAAATCTTTAATCCATAAAGGAACACCGTCAGTTAAAGTTGTATCTTCACATTTCCAAACCTACAAAAACTAACACTAATCCTTTTCAGTGTTATCCATTTTACCCATTTTTTTCTCCTTGTAAATTTCTTCTCCTTTTTGAAAAAAAAAAAAAAAAAAACAAAACAAAAAACCAACACCAGTCTTGTGCAATTTCCCATACGATAACTCTGAGGAGTTCACCTAACAATTTCATTTAAGTCGAATAAATGAAACCACTATCTTCTGATGACAGGACAGAGCAACTCTGCCCAAAGCAAATACTTAAGGTTTGGCAAAAAGGAAGTGAGGCAACTCGAGGAAGCACAGTTAGCAAGGTTTGGGATACAATTTTGTACTGTTCTGGCTTTTCACAGGTATTGCCATATGCGATACTTCCAAGACATCAGTCTCCTCCCCACTAAAAATTAATAATTAAGGGTTCACACATTTAATCTTCACTGTAGATGTTAAACACTCACCTATTTCTGTGAATCTGAGATTCAGCGAGATAGAATACTACTGTATGAATAAAACAACGGAAAAAAAATTCCAAACAAAAAAAACCCCGAGATCACTGAAAATCTCAGCATTCTTTACTAGTTGAACCATATTCTAGGCATGACCTCTTCTTTCTCAGAGGGTATAAGACTACACAAAGCAGAAAAAGCACAAGTATCAGTCACACAGAAGAAAAGAAAGTGCACGATGGATTTATAAGGGCCCATCTGACTTTCATGTCTTAGTCATGAGCATAAAGCAATTGAACATTCTTTCCTACTGATAAGGTTATCTTTCAGAAGAGTTCTGAGTATTGTTAACTTTCCCACTCCACAAGCATGCTGCTCAAAGAAATAAATCCATTTTATCAGAATCCAGTAACAACCATTGCTAATTTCATGTGCACCTGTTACAGAAGGAAAAAAAGCTTACTTCAAAATGTTATTATTTATCAGCCATAGGATATTAGCCCTGATGTCACTATTTCTGAAGAATGAACAAATTATTATAAAACACAGTCTACAAGAACAGAACTCCCATCCTACACCAAAATGTATAACCAATCTCCTTCCTTGGTGCATTGGAATAACTAAACAAGTCTATCCAGGTACTCTTCAAAACAGTAAGGAAAAGAAATCATACAAAATTGGTTTAAAAGATGCCTTCAGACTAGCACAGTTGCTTAAGCTTTTACATATTGATTTAGTCTTAGAGAAGAAGTTACTTTGTTCAACACAAAAACAAAGTAAGACCTCAGTACTTTGCATCAAGCAATACCATAGTTTGGCTGTATAGCTAGTTTTCACAGGATTTCAGCTCTGTCTCAATTCTCCTGTTTGCTAAAATTAATCTCAATCTTTTTAGCTTTTGGCTGATCTTTCAGGTCAGCACACACAGAATCATCAATTTTTTTATTTTTTTTTTTCTCCCATATTTGTAGGAATGTGTACGTTTGTCCTGTCTTACTTTCCAAGAATAGGATTAGAAACTAAGTATGTTCTGTCACTCAGACTTGTTTTATCAGAGAAAGATAAAAATACTCAAAAACCCAACAATTCCAGAGCAGGGAAGTTCTACCTCAGGCCTAAGAGTGCGTGTGTGTTCGGGGGGAGAGGGGGGTGGTACATCTAGAAGACCATACCTAAGTAATTCAAGACAGATGCCACCAGGAAACAAGATTATGTGATAGATGACAATTCAAATGAACAAGCTTCAAAGGAAGATGCCAAACCTCGAGACAAATAATAAAAGAATGTGCTTACCACCAATTCCTGACTCCAATAACCTGTGAAATATGAGTATTATATATCACCTTTCTCAGCACTACTCTTTGTATGCTCAGCACTACCAAGAACAGAAGAGACTATGGTAAGAACTTAAGAGATCAGCATTTAGGCCAAAAATTGAGTATTTTGCTTTGTATGCTAAGCAAGAAAGAAACTCTTCTTCCATGCCACTGTAATTCTCAACACTGAGTTCTAACCCACTCCTGCAAAATAATTTTGTAAACAAATTTGTAATCAAGCAATATATGAAATAGCATACATTCTTCTAATTTTCAGTCATTCTTAAGAGTAAACGTAGCAGAGAAGAGGGAGAACATCTACTGCAAAACTAGGCGTGTAATCAAATTCTATTAATTCTATGTTACTTGTACTAGAAAATAAATCAGTTTGCATCAAATTAAAGTTTTCTTTTGAAGTGGCGAATCTACAAAGACTTAGTTTTGTCCTTGCAAACAGCGCATCTAGAACAACTATGTGACTAGCTATGCATAACTCTTCTTCATAATAAGATACAGCATGAAATTGAACTGTTTGCTCATATTTATAAATGAGGCTAGCTAGAACAATAGTTTGATTTGGAGATAACTATAATGAACAAGTTCAATTTGGGAAGAATGCTCTTCAACAGAGAGACTACTTCACATTTCTTCACAAATGTATTCATTAAAAAAAGATCATTAGCCTGCTTGTTTATCTTCCTGTGTTTGTTGCTGTCGTTTGTAAATAATTCTTAATCAGTCTTGCAGCTCCATGTTAAAGAAAAGCCTGCATTCCATTTTTAGCAATTTATAATGCGATCTGGGAATAAATTGATTTTTGCAGCAGTGAACAGACTTAGCCTGAACAGTTGAAGAAAAACAAACAAATAAAAAACCCCACAGAATTTAAGATGGAATTAATTAAAATGAACATGGATAGCTCTAGACAAAGTTAATTGTTTCAAGTTTGTTCTTTAATACTGCTTAATTAAAGCCACATTAAAATCTCTTTAAAGAATTTACAAATACTTCTGGGTAAGATTTATACCTGACCATAGGTAAAGGAAAACTGCAAAACGCTAGTGGTCATCATACATACAAATTCCATAATTTCATGAAGTACATATGGTTATTAAGGGTAGCAAAATAAGAAGAAATGCACTTCATAATACAGATTTGTACGGTCCTGGTAAAGTCAATGAAATGGATGACTGAATTATAACACCTTTAGTTTTTGCTGGTCAAACACTGCCTTCACAGCCACTGAAAAACGTGTTTCAGGCACAATCCACTTCATCCTAAGAAGTTACCTCTAGAAATATTTCTGATGAGCATGTACATCTTTTTCTGTAATCCTGTAAGCAAGAAAGATGTTGTGAAGTGCTTCAGTCTGTGG